ATAAAGCCTTTTTACAACAAAAGAAACAATCAACAAAATGAAAAGGCAACCTATTGAATGAGAGAAAATATTTTTAAACCATTTATCTGATAATGGTTACTATTCAAAATATATAAAGAACTCATACAACTCAATAACAAAAAAATCCCAAACAATCTAAATAAAAACTGTGCAGAGGAATGAACAGATAGTTTTCCAGAAAGTACGTACAATGTCTAACAAGTACATGAAAAGATACTCAACATACCTAATCAGCAGGGCAATACAGATTAAAACCACAGGGAGCTATCATTTCATACCTGTCAGAATGGCTATAAAAAGAAGACAAGAAATAAGAGTTGGTGAGGATGTGGAGAAATAGGAAACCTCGTGCACTATGGGGGGGAATGTAAATTGGTTCAGCCACTATGGAAAACAGTATAAAGTTCCTCAAAAACTTAAAAACAGAACTACAATATGATCCAGCAATCACACTTCTGGGTATACAGCCAAAAGAAATTAATACAGGGTCCTGAGGAGATATCTTCATTCCCTTTATTTCAGCTTTATTCACAATAGACAAAATATGGGAAAAACTTAAGTGTCCATCAATGGATGAATGTGTAAAGATGATGTGGCTCATATATACAATGAAATATTATTCTGCCATTGAAATAAGGAAATCCTGCTATTTGCATGGATGGGCATTGAAGGCATTATGCTAGGTGAAATGTCAGACAGAGAAAGGCAAATACTGTATGTTGTCACTTACATAAGGAATCTAAAAAAGCTAAACTTGCAGAAACAGAGCAGAGTAGTGGTTACCAGGGTCTGGGGGTAGGGAATTGGGGAGATGTTGGTCAAAGGGTATAAACTTGCCGCTAGAAGTTAAATAAGTTGTGGGAGTCTAATACCATTGTGATTATAGTTAACAATACTGTATTATATACTTAAAAGTTGTTAAGAGACTAGATCTTAGATGTTCTCATCACAAAAGAGGAAATGATAATTGCATGATGTGATGGAGGAGTTCGCTAACACTATGATGGTAATCATATTGCAATATGTAAGTGTATCAAATAGACATTGTGTATCTTAAACTTCCAATATTATGTATCAGTTATATTTTAATACTAATAAAGAAACTGAAACGTATTTCTGAAGTGTATCTATTTTGTGCTTTACTTGACAGCACTACCAGCTTATACTTACTGATATTAATTGCTATAACAATGATTGACATTAGAGAAAACTAAGAATGCTTTTTTTCCATTTTCCTACTTCTTTTCCCAAGTGGCCCAGCTTTCATCCAAGCTCTAGTAGCCACACCTGGGCCTGTAACCAAGGAAATTTTAGCCTAGTAAAAATTTAGGAATATCTTACTAGAGGTGTTGGTTGGAAATATTTTTTCCCTGCTCTATACCCAAGGGAAGCTGCTAGATGGTACTAAAAATGATTTGGCTGAACGATTGACTGAAGCTTGCCATTATGGGTACATTAGCCTCCTGTCACAAGCTATCTGACCTGGGCTAGCCCTGTCTACTTCCCCTGCAGGCCCCTTCATTCTTCTTATCTGGCATTTGGCCGTCTCTGTTTCAGATGAAAGGCTGAGCTACAGCTGTGCTCTGCACCTGCCCATCTAACCGCCTGCTTTTACCCTTATTTGACTGTGTACCCCCTTAGAATTGGGCTTTGCTTGATTGGGAAGATTTAATGCAAAGGAGTTATTGCACTATACTTCAGACATGGGGAGGACATCCGTGGTGTGTGTGTGTGTGTGTGTGTGTGTGTATGTGTGTTTGTGCGTATACGTTTAGCAAAATAAGGTCCAGAAAAAAGTGGTAGCTGGGAAAATAGGAATCTCATATGCAGACACCAGTAGTTATTGGTAGATCACTACCCTTGAAAAATAAGATATCTAATGTATTTAGATGACAAAAGCTAAGGATAAACCAATCAAAAAGCAAATTGCACCCTGGAGTTGACTATCGCCCCACATCATCTTCTGTCCCTGAACAGTGGCATGAAACCCATCCCACTGCATCTACACAGGAACAGAAATGAATATGGGAAAGATGACCTGGGACACAAAAGCCTAACTGCAGGCCTGAAACTTCCATGATCCAGAGAAAACATCCATCATCAGAGGAGGCAGGAAGGTAGAACCTGCCTGTTGAGGAACCGGAAGCGCCTATGTGGAAGTTCTGTGGCTGAAGGAATGTCCCACCAGATAGAACAGTTCTGTGCAGTGAGACACCAAGCTTTTCCACCAGTGCCAGCTAGCAACACAAGGGTTTTCACTTCCCTCAATGTTCTCTGCTTGGAATTTTATCACATGGATCCACCTAGGGACAGTACCCAGCAAGGGAAATAAATAGATTTATTCTGTGGGTGTACCCCCCTCCCCAAATAGATGAAACTCACACTCTTTGTTATTGAAAGATTGGGACCAGGCAGGGATCAGCCCCACACTGTTTGCATTTCCATTCTCTATAGTTATCATTAGAATAGTATCCCCTCCCCCCCATTCTGATTTATGAAATTGGTTTAACTTTTCCTGACAGTCTCCAAATTACCAGTCACTCTGCATTACTAGGCCTTGCACTAGTCAGGCATCCCTGTGCATTCTATCTCTTCTACCTCGCCTTGCCATCTGTCACTGTAATACCTGTGTCGCCGAGTTTTGAACCATAATACTTATACCTCATCAGCTTCCAAATGGTTCCATGATCTGTCAGCAGTGATCAAGGTAGTGCAATGAGACATGACAGGGCATCCAAGTAATTTTTTAGGGAGGCTGGAGAGTGGAAAAGTTGAAGCCCGGGACATTTGAGTCACTCCGCCTTGAGTTGCTTTTGCAAGGTCTCTAAGTTCCTGACACACACACCCCCTTTTTTTAAATATCCTGAAGTAAAATGCATACATCTGACTTTCATTTGATGTGGTAGGCTGATAGAAGCATATTGTACAGAACCCCAGTAAGTATACCTTCATACATCAAGGGGCTTGTCTACGTATATGGTGGGACAAAGCACGAGAAGGGTAGGATGTGGGGATGGGAGTGTTATATGCCTTTGTGTTTGTGTGTATGTGAGAGTGAGGGCCTTGGGAGGCAGTTCACCTTGAATGGCAGAGATGTGGGTGGAAGGTCACTAACATTGATTTATTTAGAACCTGCTTTCCTATATGCATTGGGCCAATGCTTGTGTGCACATTGTCTTATTTACCTTAAAAGAACTTAAGCAGCACTGGGTTCTGATTTCCTTTTTTTAAACAGATGAAGGCATACACATTTTTTATTTTTTACAAAAAAAATCAAGGTCATACCTGCAATCAATGAACCAGCGATGTGACCTTGGACAATTTAAGATGTGTCAGATTCTAAGACTGTATGCTATTTCCATGATAAATGAGGGCTGTGGGTATCAAGATTTTTCAGCTATCTCTTTGAACCCCATTTCCCACAGAACATTTTGGGGATGGCTCCAATTTTCAGATACTGTTCTCTAAATCTATCCTGCAAGATATTTTCAAGTCCTATTTCCTATCATTTGGAAAACATTTATTCTCTCCTTACCACTGTGGCAGTCTGCCTGGAAAGAGGTGCAATGTATCATTTTGCACACTAATGGAAGGTGGGCTAGGAATTACCTATAATTTGTTTCTCCATCCAGGCACGTCAAACTAAGTTATGATGAAAGTGGAGCGGCAACCTTGATCACCTACTGTTTTATAGCTGATGTGATTGTTTTTATGAAGCCTATAACGTTTTTAACGCTGTGGTTGTGATGATCTCGATTCTTGTCTCAGCAGAACAATATGACAAGATTTGAGTCAATTATGATTGCAGAGGACGGGAGTGTGGCTTGCTAGTGACAGGGATGGAGAGAGAATTGCACAAAGCCTGCTCCTGTTGCCCCCTACAGACAGGCCACTGAGGGACCTCTGGCCAGCATTCTGCTGCCTCCATGAATTACTCAGTTTTCTGTTTGGCAGATGGCAATGAGTTGCAACTAAATCATTCTCAGATAACTAGGGATTTAAGATGAAATTCCCTCTAGACTGTTATATTCAAAGAGAAGACCTGGATCAAGGACACTATGGAATGAACCTCATGTTCAGGGAGATTTGGAGCAAGATACGATAGCCATTTCCCTTGGTTAAAACTCTGTAGTAGAAGAAAGAGGCAGGTGGGGAAGTATCTAATTTTATTTAAACAGATATTTCTAGAACATCTAGTAGTGAGCATACTGACGCTAGACTCCATGGAGAAAAAGATGAGACTCCATTGCACCAAAATTTAGGGATACCACCCCCTAACATTTTAAACACATTTTGAAAGTGCTATAATAATGTTATAAATACAAATGATGAGCCTTCTAGGGGAAATGACCAGGGAAGATGATGAAGAGGTGATGTAATCTGAGTTGATCCACGGCGGTTTGAGTAATGCATTTTGCAACACAAAGATGGGGAGGATACTCTGACCATAAAAGCCAGCATGCTAATAAGCACAGAGGCATGACATCTGCTGGGGAAGGATGCGAGGTGGCAGGTGTTTATGGGAGGGGTGTGGCTGGAACTTTGGCTTGGCAGATTTAAGTTGGAGCAATATTTTGAAGAGCTTGGAAAGTAATGATAAAGAGTTTGCGTTTGATATTGTAGGTCATAGGTTATAGACTCAGTTGTAGACAGAGGCCAGGAGGGTAATATAAAGGAACGACACTGACCAAATAGTGGCTGTGGTAACTTGGGTAGTAAAGTCCCTTCTGAGGAAGGCAGCTGAGACTCTGCTCCCACAGATAGTAGCTTCTCTAGTGTAAGAACTCTGTATGGCCAGATGTCCCAATTTTCTTAGAGAAGACTGAAATCTCATTTTTTTTTAAAAAATGTGAGCTTTCATGACACTTAAATGCTGGCAACTAATAAAAATTTTTTTGGGAAACAACTGGGGGCCAAAAAGAGCCAGTTTAAGGTTTGTGTCTTATGTCTGTGCATCTGCTAGTGGCTTATAATTACAGAAGGAGAAATGGGAACATATAACTATTTATACTCAAGGAACTGACTCTATTGTATGGAAGATGATACTTGAGCAAGGAGACAGTTGGACAGCCAGAGTCTGAGAGGTGAAGGCTTGACATCAGGCATTTATGGGGGGGAGGGGAAGGAGGAGGAGGACTGGAGGTGAGAGCCTTGAGCCACCTGGTGACCACTGGATGTGGGAGAAAGGTTGTGATGCCATCATAGATGGCCCCTGGGAGGTCGTGAGGCTGCTAACTGAATGGAGGAGACGGTAAAGGGAGCTACTGTCATACATCTCCTGGGTAATGATTTTATTTTGCTTTTTACCAATCGTATATTTGCTTTTTGCCATATACTTTATACCTGTACTCTACTATCTACTCTATATTTCTGGAAGAAATTATTTGCAGTAAAGATAATAGATTTTTTTTCTTAAACCAAATAAATACTCCTTTCCCTTCTTCCCATTCATACTCCAAGATGAACTATGGGCACGCGCTGCTAGATTTCAGACTCTTTCCCTGTGTAGCATTAGACACATTGATGTGGTTGAAGCAATGAGCTGAAAGTATTTTAATCCTTGATGGATAGCAGAAGAAGAGGAGTTTATGAGTCCAATTCTTCTCAAGTTTGAAGATAATGATTTTTGCCTCTTCTGCCTCCGCTTATTTCTTTTGCATTTTACATTTTGCGACAGTGAATCAGACACATTATTATTCCATTCAGCAGCCTTGACATCAGCAGCAGATTTGCATGAACTAGGAAAGAAATGTTTCTATATTATTTTCTCCCATTCTAAGTGGTATTTTATTGCAATAGAGATTTTAAGTGGTCTCTCCATCCAAACTTCCAATTTGATGGGAGCCTTTGATATTGCCCATTGATTTGTTTACAGGACCATTGGAATAGGAGAGAGCCTGGTTTCTTGATTGGTGAGTGTGACACAGAGGAATGAATGGATTAATTTAACACTGCTCAGTGCACTTGAAAAAAACCTGAGTCTACAGTAGAATTCCACCTGCCATACTGCATTTACTAAAAAAGGGCTTCCCAAATGTCTCCCATGCAGAATGCTTTTTTTGGTTATCCAACCAAACGTAGGAACCCTGCTGTACCTGACCTTGTCAAAGGTCATGCCTATTTTTCCTTTGCCATTGCTTCACACTCAGACTTTTATTCCTGCACCAAGTCAACTGGGTAATTCCTGACAAAATTAGGCAAAATCTTTTTTACTAAGACATTGTGAACTCGGTAGGGTTTTTAGATAACTTTTAATGCCTGAAGCAAGTTTCCATCATCTCACGTGCTCCTAGACAGTTACCAATAGTCAAGGATCTTGTCCCATTTCAATTCCTCTGAAGTGATCCACCAGGGATCCATGGGGCATGAAGGAATCTCCATTAATCTGTGTCAACATTCTCTCCCTTATCCTTTACAGGAAATACTCAGTTGTACAGGAACTGTGTGCTTAGAATTTAATAGAGCCTGGATACACGTGGAAAGATTGTCAGGTAATAGATGCCTTTGGTCCTTGTACTGTTGGATGGCTGGCGAGTTGGCAAAGAACCAGTAGTAGAATCCATTTCTTCCCTTAAATGAGATTGCATGTTCCCTTAACATGCTGTCATTAAAAAATATGTCAACATGAAGATTTTTGGATCAGCTAATATATGCAAATGGTGAAAACTCAAATAGTATAAATTATTCTTTAGTATATGTTTTAAATGTTGGCAAGAGCTCAGAAAGGAAGAATAAAAGAGATTTTACTCCCAGTTTTGCCACTGACTTATTTGGTGGAACTGGTCCAAATAGGATACCTTTTTGTGTCTCAGTTTCTTCACCTAAAGCCTAGAATGGGAATCTTTGCCCAATAACTCTTCAGGATTGTTGTGAGACCTTAATAAATCTGGTGTGTGAAAGTGCTTTAAGTGCATAGACATTAAAGGGTCTTTGCTATAGTTTCCCATGGTCTCTGTTAAGTACTCAGCCAATATCTACTGTGTCCTTGGTATTGGCTGGGAGGAGATAAAGAGCTTTAAATTATTAACTCAATTCTCAAACTAGTTCCATCAGGTAAGTCTGTTATTATCTCAAATTTACAGTGAGAAAATGAAGGCACAGACAAGCTAAATAACTTGCCAAAGTTCACATAGCTGGTAATTAGTAGCAAAGTTGAGATTTAAACCTCATCTTTCTCTTTTTTCCTCCCTTTCTCTCCCCCTCCCTTTTCCTTTCTATCTATGTGTAATATATATGTATTTATAATACATACATGAATATATCTATAAATAAACTCCTCTATATATTATCATTGTAGCCACCTGCTCTTTTACTGAATACATTTTTAAATTTATCTTTATTGTTGAAAGTATTAC